CGCTTTTGGTTCCATAAGTGACTGTCTTTAGTTGAAAGACCTTAATTGGTTCAGAAGTGTGTGATCTCCACAAAATGGATTGAAGGCTGTGTTGAGAGGGATCGATTTGTATCTGACGATACATTTTCTCAATGTCAGCTGTGAAGACGTATTTATGCATTCTGAATCGGGAAATAATAGAAAATAGTTCATCTTGTACTCTGGGGCCATTCATTGAAACATCATTAAGTGAAAGACCAGTTGAAGATTTAGCAGAAGCGTCAAAAACAACACGTAATTTTGTTGTGGTAGATGATTCCTTAATAACAGCATGGTGTGGAATAAAATAAGATCGTGATGAACTTTTATGAGGCATGCTAGCTGAACTGAGTTCCCCAATACATTGCATGTGACCTAGCCTTTCATATTCACTCATAAAATCCCTGTAGTCATTGTACAACTTAAAGTTTTTGGCAAGTCTGTTTTCAAGAGTAGCAAACCGTTTGAAAGCGATTTGTTTGTTATCACCTAGATCGGAAACAGTATCCTTTAAAGGAATCTTTACGACGTATCTACCGCTTGTGTCGCGCATGGTTGTAGATTCATAATGTTCTTCACAAAGAAGATCCTCCCCAGTTAAAGTGGATTGAGATTGACAATCTTCTAATTCCCAGAAACGTTGAATATTACTGTTTAACAAGTCTAGAGATGATACAAAGTATGTATGATTGTCGTCAGAAACGTGTTTTCTTACTTCTACATTCCCTGTGACTAACCATCCTAATTTAGTTTCCCTAAGAGATGGGCCATTGACTTATAACTGTATTGTTTTGTCACCAAGAACGTCCCAAAACGCTTGAGCCCCTAGGATCATGTCTATTTTTGATGGGTTATAATAATAAGGATCTGCAAGAGCGACATCAGGGGGAATCTGAGTTGAATGATTGAATAAAACACTCCCTGGTAACTTTTCTGTAAGTTTGGGAAGAATTAGAAAGTCCATTTGTGTAGTGAATTCTGAATTTCTAGAATTGACTGTAACATTTACGACATGGTTGACAGAAGTTGTATTACAATTGATGCCTGTTATTGATACTGAAGCCTGTCTTTTGTTTACTTGTAATCGCTTACAGAGTGATTCTGAAATGAAGTTTGATTGTGATCCACAATCAAGTAATGCCTTACATGAAACAATCTTACCTCTAGGACTGATGACATCAACAATAGCTGTAGAAAGGATAGTCTGAGTTGGTCTGCTAGAGGATTGATCATTGGCTGATGCGCCTACAGAAATAACCTGTTTATTATCCGCAGTGGATAACTGTTTGTTATCTGAGTGTGGTTGACTGCTCTTACCACAACTGTCTTTAGGAATTGATACTGACTTAAGGCAAAGTAAAGTGTTGTGTCTTCTTCCACAAGATTTGCAAACACTCTTACTTTTACACTGATTAGTTTTGTGAAATTTCAGACAGTTGTTACACAAATTTAAGCTTCTTACCTTGTTTATTCTATCAGGTATTGCTAGGTTGTGAAATTGTTCACATTGAAATAAAAAATGTGAGGACTGGCACAGTTCACATTTAGGTTCTGAAGATGACAAGCATGGCTGTCGTGATGACCATGACTTGTTTTGAAACCCAGAAGCAGAAGTAGGTTTATGTTTGACAAAGTTAACATCATTATGTTTAGGCAGTGGAGCAACTAAAGGCTTACTGTTATTGTAATGAATAGAGTCTAGTATATGAAACCTATGATTTAAGAAATCATTTAGGTCTTGCATTGTTGGAAAGCTATTAGGCTTAAGATTATCTTGCCAATTCCTGAATGTGACAGGATCAAATTTGGAAGAAATCAAATGAATAAGTAGAGTATCCCATTTGTCAGTGGGTTCTCCAAGTGCATTCAATGCACGAATGTGCTTGTTGGAACTGTTGATCAGCTCTCTTAAAGATTGGACAGATTCTTTTTCTAACTTTGGTAGATTGAACAGAGAGTGAACATGTTTTTGAACTATTAATGTTTTGTTGTTATACCTCTCTTGAATGAGGTTCCAAGCTACTGCATAGTTAGTGGAAGTTAACTCCAAAGATGAAATTACGTCAAAAGCTTCCTTTTTCAAACAAGATTTAAGGTAGTGCAATTTTTCAACATCTGTTAGAGATTCATTGTTATGGATCATCACCGAAAACATATCAGAAAACGGAAACCAATCGTCAAAAGATCCATCAAAGGATGGCAGATTTAATACCGGTAGGTTTAGTTTAGGCCCTGAAACCTTGTCTGAAGTTTTCATTTGAATTGAAGTATTCTGATTGTTCGTAGTGAATGATTTGGCCTTACCTATTATTTTGTAGTATGCCGATTCAAAGGTTTCCCTTTCTACCTGTTGGGCATCCTCGTCATCCTCCAGTTCGATGTCCTGTTGGATGAGGTCGAATTTGTCAAGAAGTGTCTCTGCCTTGGGAAGCCTGACGCATAGTTCGTTAAAAAATCCGGGAGAATCAATGGAATTTTCCAAGAAATGTTCAAATCTTGTTAATTGTGCCTTGATTGTGCTTCTTTTCTTTATTAATGCGTCCATTTTGTCTTGGAAAAGCTAGTTGCAAACTCTGTAATTTTGTCAGTTTGTTGATTGAAAAATGAAAAAAAATACTTTACTGAAAATAATAAAAACTGTAATGAATCATACTGGATTAAAATCCGGCTCGAAGGACCAAAATGTAAAGTGAAATTGAAATTAATTGTAAAATAAAAGATAGAAAATATCTAGTACATGTTTATTGAAAGTAGCAGTGGACTGGAATAATTATAAGTTTGTTTTTAAAATATGTATAAACAAACAAAACATATGATTTGAATCACACATTGATAAATATAGTCTTTTTGAGAAATAATTGTATATAGGCTATGTAAATTATGTGTTTTTACACAATAGCCAAACCAGCAGGGAGCAGTTCTAGTTATTTTAATTATAAGGGACACTTTTCAATTGTTCTTTTAGCTGCCGTTGACGCGCATTACAGATTTACGTTGATTGATGTAGGATCAATGGGTAGGTTTAGTGACAGTAATATTTTTTGGAACTGTACTATTGGAAAGCGAGTTCGAGACAAAACACTCCATATTCCTCCTTCCAAGGATTTAGTTTCTTTTGATGATCTGTTATACAACCCTGCTCTTGGAAACATGCCTCATGTATTTGTCGGAGATGAGGCATTTCCTCTCATGCAAAATCTTATGCGCCCATATCCGAAAAGAAGTATTCGTGGTTGTCATGATGTAATGGTATTCAATTACAGACTATCGAGAGCAAGGCAGACTGTTGAATGTGCGTTTGGAATATTGGCATCTAGATTTAGAGTGTTTAGAAAACCGTTTGAAATAAAACTGGACACTGTTGATAAAGTAGTCAAGGCAGCTTGTGTGATCCATAACTACTGGCGTAGCGAAACCGTTCGATCTAACGTCGAACATGAAATTGAGATAGAAGAAATGCCACCTAACCAGCTCATCCCTCTATCACCATCAAGAATTCGAGCAACTACTGAAAACTTTATAATACGGGACAACTTTAAAGAGTTTTTCAATTCTTTTGGAAGGGTTTCTTGGCAAGATGAGTGTTCAAGACTTTTCCCCCTTGATCTGCATTTAACATGTGTATATTTATTTATCATATGTTATTTTTTCTTACTGTTTACCTTTTCATTACATTGTTTTTATTGCTCAAGTCAACATGGTTTCTTTTTTATAATCTTAATTTTACCATTTTCCAATCCAACATTTGGTCCTAATTCGCAGCCGGATGAAAACCTGGTAACTATATTCATTCCTTGTTAACATTACCCCATTTATAATCTAAATGTTCTACTCAGTTTCCTTACAGTCCACTATTAATTTATTGTTTTTGAAGTTTACCCGATTATAATCTTTTTGGACTCAGATCACGATATGAAATAAACTCTTTACTTACTTTAATACTATATTTTTGGTGCCAATCAATCAAACAAGCTCAAGTTTATTAATTTTTTGTACACTTAATAGACTATACATTCCTCCATTTAGTTAAAGACTTTATTGAAAGAAACTTATTATCTGTATCTTTGATGTACAATTCATTGTTTTGACTTCAAACTGAGATTTTGTGTTTACTCAAGACCTTTTTATATTGTGTGTGTGCTGCTGGTAAATTTTGTGTTCTACTACTACAATGGCTCCTAAAACTTCAGATTTTAAGTCATCTACATACACTCGCTCAACATCCCTAATTAAAACTCGTTTTAATAAGCTTAAAGATACTGTTGATGAATACTCTACCTCAACGGAACAACTCACCCCTATTCAAATTAAACAACTAAATGCTCATTTAAATGAAATTCGTAAAAGAAAAGAAGAATTCGACAACAATGTGCAACGGGTTTTAATCTTAGAAGAGGATCTTATCTCTGACGAGACATTGTCTCAAGACCTGGATGAAATTGAAAGTTTAATTTCTCATATCGTGGCTACTATTGAGTTCTTAATGTCCCATCCTGAACCTTCAAATTCTGCTATCTTAAGTGACTCTTCTTCCGTTTCTCTTCACCAAACACCGATTTCGCAAGCAGTACGCCTTCCAAAATTGGATTTACCAAAATTCTCCGGTGACCCACTAACTTGGACAAGTTTTATAAATTTGTTTGATACTGCAATACACCACAACGCATCGCTTTCCAGTGTCATGAAATTTCAGTACCTCTTAAGTGTACTTAACGGAGAACCCCTCGACTTAGTCAAAAGTTTGAATCTTACTGAAGCTAACTATTTGGTTGCATATAATCTCCTCCGTGATAGATATCACAATGAACGCCGCTTACAATCTTTGCACCTCAATCACATTTTGGACCTTCCTACCAGCATTTACTATAACAGGACTTCGCCATTTTGTAAATTGTTTCACTGAACACACGCAAGCTTTAAAAGCTTTGGAATGTGACATTACAAATAATAATCCCCTTCTCTCCGCACTGCTCCTGCGTAAGATGGATGCTGATTTACGCAAAAAGCTTGAAATGTTCCGGTCTCCAACCGAAAATCAGCCGAATTCTCACTCACTTCCCGAGGTCAAAGATATAATAAAATATCTGAACACTGAATGCTCTCAGGCTGAGGATGCAAATCTACACAGCGCTCCCACACTGAATAAAATTAATAACACTTTTGCTCATGCACCCAAAGACACTACACAAAAGCAAGTACAATTTCGCTCAAGAACCGTTGCTATGGCCACGACCCACACTTCCCCCCATCAGTCATCTCACTCAACAGGCATTAAAAAACCGACTCATTGGCAGTGTTTTGCATGTAACTCAAACGAACACAAGATCTATGCCTGCAGTGTGTTCCAAAATAAATCTCCGCATGAGCGACATAACCTCGTCAAAGAAAATCATCGCTGTGTCTCGTGTCTAGGCCATCATAACCTCAAATATTGCCATTCACAAACTTCATGTCGTACATGTAACAAGAAACATCACACTTTGTTACATTTCCCTGCACCTCTTGTTGATCAAAATCATTTTAAGCCTGTCAATGCAAATGTGAGTTACCCACATGAGCCTACTCAAACCTCAATGACGTCAACTTCACAAGATCACTCTCAGCCACCTTTTAAAAGCTCTACTATACTCTTGGGAACTTTTTTGATAAAGGTCACTTCAGTTCAAGGCACATCTCATGTGTTCCGTGCCTTACTTGACTCCGGCTCCATGTGCGACTTAATCACCGAACGAGCAGCTCAACTTTTAAACGCTCGACGCTACAAGTCAAATGTTCAACTTTCTGGACTTGGCCAAAATGCAGCTAAGAGTAATGGGCAAACTTACCTCAATCTTGAAACTCTTTCTGGATTTCTCATATCTCCGCAACATCCAATGCTCATTTTAGACAAATTGACTGTCGACTTACCTCGTGTTCCAGTCTCTCCGGAAGTGTTATCGCTCACTAAACGGTTTTGTCTAGCTGATCCATCATTTCACCTGCCAGGACGCATTGATATCGTGCTTGGTTGCTCTCTCTTCCCTAAGTTACTAACTCATGAAAATTACTCTCTTGGCCAACATATGCCCCACGTAATAGGAACTCATTTTGGATACATCGTGATGGGTTCTGCACCCTGTGAAATACCCACAAATCCCACACCACAATGTTCAAACTTAATCAGTCACACCATCTCCCTTCATTCATCTAATGATGTTGACCTTCATTCCTCACTTCAGCGATTCTGGACTCAGGAAGAACTTCCAAATTGTCAAAAGAAAACTGAAGAAGAAGAACTCTGCGACGCAAACTTCGAGTCTACGCACACCAGAGACTCTGAAGGACGATACATCGTTCGACTTCCCTTCAAGGAAGCTCACCCCCCTCTTGGAGCGTCTCAACCGCTTGCTGAACGCAGATTCCACTCTCTCGAGCGAAAATTCGCAGTCCAACCCCGCTTCTCTCAGCTTTACCACGACTTCATAGATGATTACATCTCTCTTGACCATATGACCATATGTCAAGATTTCCTTCTTCCCTCTTCACACTACTTTCTCCCTCATCATGGGGTTCTTAAAGAGAGTAGTAGTACAACCAAACTCCGAACAGTATTTGATGCTAGTGCAAAAACAAGCACAGGGGTTTCTCTCAATGACATTCTGCTTACTGGACGCAAGCTCCAATCCAATATTTGTGACATACTTATGCATTTTAGAAGACACAATATTGTTTTTTCTTGTGATATTCGTCAAATGTATCGACAGATCCAAATACATCCTGACGATAGAAAATTTCAACTCATCCTTTGGCGTGAAACTTCCTCTCAACCTCTTACTACCTACCAGCTGAACACCGTGACGTATGGTATGAATAGCTCTCCTTACCTAGCAATAAAGACTCTTTACCAACACGCCGACGACGAAGGTGACTACTTTCCCGAGGCAGCGCAAGTACTAAGAACGCAAACCTACGTTGACGACATCATCACTGGTGCGGATACTGAGGAAACGGCCTTGAAACTTCAAGATCAATTGGTCAACCTGTTACGAAAAGGAGGATTTGAATTACGTAAATGGGTCTCCAACTCTGATCGTCTTCTACAAGCTTTCCCCAAGGAGCATCTTGAGACTCCCGTCTTTCTCCAAGATTCTGAACAGCCACACTTCACAATACTTGGCCTACATTGGTCTCCCCACTCTGACTGCTTCACTTACAACCTTAACTTCCCTATGGACCCTCATCCATCAAAACGATCTTGAGCATCATAGCAAAAATCTACGATCCTTGTGGATTTCTCGCTCCCTGCATCATGCAAGCAAAATGTTTTATGCAGTTACTATGGACCACAGGCTTATCCTGGGATGATCCCCTGCCCACTAACCTCGCCGAAAAATGGCATTCATTCCTAATCGATACTCAATATTTATCTCAAATTTCTATTCCTCGAGCGTTACAGTTTTCCCTGTCATGCACCGTAGAATTACATGGCTTCGCAGATGCGTCAGAGAGTGGCTACGCTGCTGTCGTATATTTCCGCTGTCAGATGTCTATTGGTGACACCATCATTCACCCAATAATCTCAAAGACTCGCGTCTCTCCTCTCAAAAGAGTAACTCTTCCTCGCCTTTAGCTTTGTGCTGCTCATCTTCTCGCGCAATTAGTAGCACATTGTCATTCTCCCTTCTCAGATAAAATTGCCATCAAAAATATCTATCTATGGAGTGACTCCTCGATAGTCTTGACATGGTTACGGACTCCACCCTACAAACTCAAGACATACAGGGTGATTGATATAAGTGTGCCAGCCGTTTTATTCGAAAACTATAAGAGATATCAAAAAAAGTTAAATGGTAAGTGCCTTGGACTTTTTATTTAAAAAATTGTTGTCAAGTCAAAAAATTATTTTAGCCTCCATTTTTCTAATATGGCCGCCAACTTTGATTTTTCTTACGGAACACCCTGTATTTTATGATGTATTCTGGTAGAAAAAGTAATTTTAAGACGATTTCATTCTTGTGATTTTTTTCATAAACCTAACCGTTTCAAAGATAATTATGGTTAAAGTTTTGAAATTTCTGCATGAGAAAGAGTTTCGATAAAGGCCTAAGCAAGCATGCCAGCTGTTTTGTTCGAAAACTATTCAAAATTTAACAACTTAAACCATTATTATCTTTGAAACGGTTAGGTTTATGAAAAAAATGACAAGAATAAAATCGTCTTAAAATTACTTTTTCTACCAGAATACATCATAAAATACAGGGTGTTCCGTAAGAAAAATCAAAGTTGGCCGCCATATTGGAAAAATGGCGGCTAAAATAATTTTTTGGACTTGACTATAATTTTTTAAATAAAAAATACAAGGCACTTACCATTTAACTTTTTTTATATCTCCTATAGTTTTCGAATAAAACGGCTGGCACACTTATATCAATCACCCTGTATGTAGCCAACAGGGTTTCTCAAACTCAAGAACTTGTTCCCATCGACTCTTGGCGACACATATCAAGTACTGATAATCCTGCAGACTGTGCGTCAAGAGGAATTTCTGCTTCCCTACTTGTCAACCATCCACTCTGGTGGACAGGCCCTCTTTGGCTTAAGCTCCCCACTTGTCATTGGCCTACCTCGCACTTCATTCCTGAGGACCTTTCTTCGTCAGAAGAAATCAAGAAGACACCTTTAGTTGTTCTTACATCACTTCTTTCTGCCTACTCATCGTGGAACAAACTCCAACGCATTGTCGCTCTTCTTAACTGCTTCATTCACAATTGTCGTAATCAAAATGACCGTCTCAGTGGTCCTCTCTCATCGTCTGATATCTCCAAAGCTCATCTCAAGATCTTTCATCATGTTCAACAAGCCACCTTTGCAGAAGAAATTTCATCTCTCCAAAATAAGCATGACTGCTCCACCCGACTTAAACGATTGAAACCATTTCTTGACTCTGATGGAATTTTGCGTGTTGGTGGTCGCCTCAACAACTCATCACTACCTTCTGATGTTCGACATCCATTGCTGCTGCCTAGGAAGCATCATGTTGTTGACCTGCTAATAGACCATTTTCATATCACACATCTCCACTCTGGACCTCAACTTACTCAAGCCGTGATCGCTCAATCTTTCTGGATTCTTTGTGCACGTAGCGTTATTCGCTCACGTATATTCAAGTGCGTTACGTGTTTCAGAAATAAACCACGCAACAACACCCCGCTGATGGGTGATCTACCCTCCTCTAGAATCACTCCTGCTCGGCCATTTCTCTCTACAGGAATTGACTACTGCGGCCCATTCACAATTAAGAACTTAAATCTCCGATCTGTAAAACACGTAAAAGTGTATCTGTGCATCTTCATTTGCATGGTGACCAAGGCTGTCCACCTCGAAGTAGTGACAGATCTCACCACCGATGGATTCTTAGCAGCTCTAACGCGCTTTGTTTCCCGCCGTGGACTTTGTGCGGACATTTATTGTGATTGTGGCACGAATTTCGTCGGTGCTGACGCAGTTCTTCGTAAACTGGTTAAACCTCAGCTCACAACTCCTCAAGCACAAGACACTATTCAACGTTACACTGCTACTCGTGGAATCAAGTTCCATTTCAATCCTCCTGCTGCTCCTCATCAAGGCGGACTATGGGAAAGCGCAGTGAAGAGCGCCAAACATCATCTACGACGTGTAATGAGTGACACAGTTCTCATTCTTTCAGAATTCATTACACTCACCACTCAAGTTGAGGCCATGCTTAATTCCAGGCCACTAACTCCGCTCTCAAGTGACCCAGCTGACCTTTCAACTTTAACTCCTGGTCACTTCCTCATTGGAACATCACTGGCATCCGTTCCAGAGCCTCACGTCATGGATGTGCCAACAAATCGCCTTAAACATTGGCAATTAGTACAGGCTTTCCATCAACGACTTTGGAAACGATGGAGCTTGGAATACATTCATACATTTCAACAACGCTCAAAATGGTGTAAAAATTCTCAAAACCTGAAGATAGGAGATCTAGTTCTGGTGCACGATTCTTCTCCACCACTCAATTGGCCACTTGCCCGTAAAACGGGCATCCATCCTGGAAAGGATGGGATCGTCCGTGTTGTGGACCTCAAGACACAGGTTTTTCAGGACACCTGACCCGTCCAGCAATACAAGTATTTCCTTTGCCACTTGACTAGAAGATTCTTTGTTAAAGCCCTTTGCGGCTTTAAGGCGGGCAGTATGTTCAAGACTTTCCCCCCTTGATCTGCATTTAACATGTGTATATTTATTTATCATATGTTATTTTTTCTTTCTGTTTACCTTTTCATTACATTGTTTTTATTGCTCAAGTCAACATGGTTTCTTTTTTATAATCTTAATTTTACCATTTTCCAATCCAACAATGAGTCTGTGAAACGTGGGAAGTATTGAGTTTCAGTAGGCCTTTGCAAAAACTTCCATACAGGCCTTTATTACTACAACCTTTACATATTGTAATTATTCCAAACAATCGTTATCTTAGAGTTTAAATTTCAAATAAAATGTATATGACAAAATAAATTATTAAGTTAATCGTTTGCATTTGTTTACTGTACCGGTAATCTGTCTAGATTATATTACGTTAGCTTCTTCACTGTAGGTGGAATTCTCTAAAACCGAGTGCTGAGTGAGATTGTATCAACACATAGAAAGGTCAAGTAAATTTATAGTTACCTGATTGTAGGTTTAAGTCATGGGCTATGTTATTCCATAGAGCATCTTTGTAGGTTTTTTTGCTATAATCAGTATGATTTACATCATAAAGCACGGGCCAAATGTGCACCAACTCAATAAGTTGCTCCATTTTGATGTTGAAAACAATATATTTCAAAGCTAAAATATAAATAATACCATATGTTACGATTATATGTTTACAATCGATCCAATGACGTTATTTGCTAGTTGTCGTCTATGATCCTTACATTTGTTTACTCTAAAATTCGTGCCTGCATAAAGTTGTGTCACATGCGTCGTCAACTGTGACATGCCGACCCACGCGTGTGTCGGATTCATACACGCGTGCGTCTCAGCTTACGCGGCGCCGTAATATAACATGACGGCACAGTTTTCTGCCTTGTGCTGCGTTGCGTGGGTTGCGCCGCGTGCGTCTCAGCATACGCCCGGCCTATAATTGTGTTTTTATCTTACTAATATTATAAATGTGAAAGTTTGTGTGTTTGTTTGTTTGTGTGTTTGAAGTTCAATCACGCATAAACCACTTGACGGATTGGGCTGAAATTTGGCATGATGATAGCTTACATTCCCGGTTAACATATAGGCATATTCTTATTTCAAAAATCCTTTCGGGCTCCGCCCCAGTGGCTCTGTAATTCCCCATGTTAACCTTATGGGTATTCATATTTAAAGGGAATTAAAGAATTTAGTCAGCTGTTTCAACTAAAAAAGTTGGTTCTAAGATATGGAAAAGCATTAAAAAGTTATAAGATTTACCTACAGGGTGCAGCACTATATATTTTTTTTGCATTTATGAAAATAGCTAATTTGAACTAAGCAGCAACAAAAAACTGTGATTCGCAATGAGAACTGTCAAAGTAGGATTCTTTACAGTTATGTTTATGTTTTTCATTTCATGAATAATTTGTGATATTTTGCGATTTGTTGATAATTTATTTTTCTCTATTGTTTAGGTGAAGTGGTAGAACATTACGGCTATGGTAGATGTGTAATACTATAGAATACTGTAAATTTAAAAAAGCAAATTTTATCAAACTGTGTCCTCCCTTATTGCAAACGCAAAGCTTGAGTATAACTGCAATAAGCATTGTATACTTATATTCCAACCCCGTACGAAGGACGGGTACTCTGCTAGTTTTGAAATAAAAAATACAGCATAGCTAATAATCCACTTTAAATTGAACTCATGCTCCAATTTACTTGGTAAAGTCAGTGGATATAGTTGAAACTCCAACGACCCGGTTACTTGTACAATGAGATAGATGATCTATCAATTAAATTATTCTCTCCCTAGTTTTGTTTAAGAACAGACGTTATGAATAAAAATATATAGTTGTAATAATAAATGTTAACATGGACGTTGAATTCCTTACATGAAACCTTACCATACATAAAAATATACCTATGTACTACACCTTTAACAATTTCTGATTAAAAATTAGTAAATTTCGGCCTTAAATTGGTTACGTGCAACGAAGAAAACTTTCACTGACCAAGTTTGATAATTATCTTATGCATATTTATATAAAAAACGCAAAACAAAACGTATGTAATTGATTGAAAAATGGAGATTTTCCGTAAATAAACAAATAAAATGCAAACCAATAGTAATTCCCAATGGTAATGTCATTAAATAGGCTGGTATATGTTAATACTCTAGCAAACCGATTTGCGTATGATATATGCGACTTGATGAAGCCAAGAAATATTTAGCAAAAGTCAAGTAAACCCGTGTAATAATGTAAAATAGTATAATAGTGCCGAAGATAGAAAATAGATGGTTACTAAAAATAGGGCTTTACAACTGTAACAGAAAATGTAGGAGTAAAAAAAAACTATTTCTTTTTAAGCTTGAAAATTAGAATTATAAGACAGAACGCAGACCCTCTTTATTATTAACCATATTTGAAACATTTACCTTCCAGAAGGAATGATTCGGTGAGTGAAATGTATTTGTCCCATTTAAGAGAGTAGAATCCCACATGGCCGAGTCTTCATAACCTTCACCAGGCATTGTACCGTACTTAGACTTGTTCGTAGTAATTTATATGAAGTAAAGAGGCTGCTAGATTTATAGCTAGATAAAATAATAAAATCAATACTTCTAAATGTTACAGCAATTTTTTTACTGCTTTGCATTTTAAGAATATCCCCTCTACCACACTAACTTGACTCTTGGAACATCTCAACATAAGAGCGTTTATGAAAATCACTTCAAGGCAATCATAATGATAAAGGGTGTTGTATGAGTACGGTGCCAAACTCCGAAAATGGTTTTATAGGTTAAAAAACAAACGAGAATAAACAATGAGAATGAATTTCACGTCAAACGTTTCATTTAGCAGATGATCGCCATTTTGTATTTTTACACATAACTTTAATATATCTTTGAATTTTTCAACAGATTTTTTTAAAACTCTGAATGTACTTGTAAAGGTAAAAGAGACGCATATGATCAAAACAAAACCAACTTGTTGTGAAGGGGACTTGTTGTAATTATCAAACAACCAACTAAATGAGAAGTTTTAATTATGAATGAACTTAACTGTGTGTTTATTTATGTCCAGAGTTTTACAATCTTGAGTGTTATTGATGTCTTGTTTAGTCTTTATCAAGACGCACATTGTCATAGGATTTCTCTTTACAAATGTCTAAATGCAGCCATTTAAAAGTTTAAAATAGGAATCATTAAATTATTATTACGGGTATTTAAACAATTAAACAACTTATATCATAACCAATTTCAAATTAGAAATGTATGGGATATAGTAGTCTAATATTGTTCAATCTTATACTGTACAAGTATTGTGTTTGTATAATTCACTGTATATTGAAAACGGACATGATTTCAATTGATTAGTAATGATTAAGAATGGCTAATTAAATAGTATGTTGTAATATTTTCTTCATAACGCTAAAGCACTAATTTTTACTCTAGGTAATTTTTGCTAATGATGCTTAAAACTTATTTTAAAACTAAACTGTTATTATTATTAACTGGTATTTTTATCGAATAAACCAATTTTATTAAAACCGTTTTACTAATAAAGTCCAGGATATAATATTTACACAGAGGAATCTTAAAGTATTACCGTTCTATTTCTCTATCTCCAGTGAATTAAGGATTGCTTCAAAGGATAAAGAGGGGACACGATTACAAGTTGCACGTGGTCGGGTTACAGATATTAAATGAGAAAGATAAGCGTGTGGGAAATCCCAATAGATTACGCTGCTTGTGATCCCACTGCTTGTGAATACAGTAGTAACTATATCTCGTTAACATTGTATTACATGTCTCTATTGTTCTTTGTTACACTAGATCCATCTGTTATATTGTAGTAATTGATTAGTATGAGTGTTTATTCAACCGAATGTTGAGCTCATTTATGCTCTTTGCCGTGTATAACATTGCACATATTCACTTTACTGTCAAGTTGACTAACGATTACTACCAGGGTCCATTAATGGACAAAAGTACATACGTTTAGCTACTAGGGGGAACTGTGGGCACATTAAAAGCCTTCATTGACTGCTTAAGTTTCATTTATGAAAATTATTTGAAACACATTTTTAAATTTACGTCATTACAAACTTATTACTTGGGTTTGGTGGTGTACTAATTACTTGATGAATGGATGCCCTTTAACCACGAAATATATTTCTAAAACAATATGATTTGATGACAAATAACTAAAAAACCAACATTTTAAATTGATTTGCAAGTTAAGAAATTATAAATATCTACAGTGTTTTACTCTCTCGATATTCATAAATAAAAATGAATCATGGTGCGAGTTTTAAATATTTTTTAAATACAATTTTAAACTCTTGTAAGCCTGCGAAGTTTCGCAATTTTTTTATATTTAATAATGCATTTTACGTTTTGTAAATATAACTCGTTGAATTTTTGATTAAGGAGCTGTTAAGTATAGTTATTGTTATAGATTTCCCTAATTGTTTCGCTAAATTAATATTATTTTGTTATCGTCGCTTCTAGTGAGTCCCGGGAGATATTACTATTTTGATTTTCATTTAGAGGTAGAATTAATTTTGGTTATTGCTGGAACATTTATGTAAAATTATCGCGTGTTTTAGTACGTATTTCCGAGTAGGTAACAATTGGGTGAATTATTTAATACGTTCCAGCCAAATTTTATGAGTAAATTCTTGATCAATTCCAGGATGGATCGAAGTAACTCACCTTGCATCCTAAGATAACATAGATTTTTGCTAGCCTGGTCCGTTGTTGTCACGTTATTAATTTAACATTTCTTTTGATATTTGCATGTGTTGTGAATTGGCCAATAATATTTAAAATTTAAATTAGATTTGTATATGATTTACATCATTTCAGAAAGTTTTATAGCACTTAAACCGTCAAATATAATATGTTAAACCATCTATAAACAAAATTTTCAAAA